TAGTATCCCGTGACACTGCCCTGCCTCCGGCCTTCAGTGCTCTGGTTTTCTGGGTTTATTGTTCTGACTGGTTCACATGAGTTACTCCAAACATGAACTCAACTGCTTTTTATGTATATCTCAAGTGACAGGTGAGTATTTCACACCCTTTACTTCAACGAAGTCTCATCCAATCTGTCACAACAATGCTTTAATAAATGTTAAATTGGTGACAGACACGTAGAAGCCAACTCACTTTAACCAGACTTTTCAAACAAGGCTAGTCAAATCCTGTCGGAGTGATAACATTTTGAAAACCTATCACTTAGCATTTAATCATTCAACTATCCATCAGTAAGGCAGAACCGTCAGCTGCTTTGCGATGGGAACTATAGGAAATCACTACAAAATGACTCCATCCATATGGGACAGAAACCATTCATAATTTGACCATGGCCTCCTAAACATTTTCTGACACTGATAAAAAGGCATGCTGCTGTATAACCACTCACTGCAGGACTTCTGTGTCCTACTTTGACATATAGGCTGTAGGACACCGTGTAAGGACAGGGCACTAGTTTAGATGGATTAACTGTGCTTTCCCACTATGAAAGAATTCAAATACTTGGCATGTTTCAGATCTTGTGGGTTGGTCTCATCATTAGTTTTTTGCTGCTTTTATGTTTTCATTTATGTGTTTACTCCTTGTTTTATATACTTCAATAGCCCAGAGAAGGAGTGAACCTCAAGGAACACACACTCTGCAAAAGTCAGCACAGAACTCAATCCAATATACATCACAGGAAAAAATTCTGAATGCTTTGGCCCCATCTCTAGAAGGAAGTTCAAGTTTCCGATCTCTGACAGATGTTAGTACTCCATTCACATTTCATGTTCAAACCTGTACTCTGAAAACTTGATGCCACAGGCTTCAGTAGCTAGGTCTGGGCACTGTTGACCAGATGGGGTGGACTCAAATGTGCCACTATGTCTGGATCACAGAACTCTCTGCCCCATGTGCCACACACTGATGAAGTACAACATATCCACTCCACACTTTACTGGTCCTTTATCCACAATGCTTATTCTTGTGGTTGCAATTAATACTAATGAGGAGCAGGAATCTTTCTGTGCATCCAGGAGTCATTTTTTCAACCTGGCTTCCTAAGGAATGAAGCTGACATTTTAACACTTTGCTTGTTTATGTGCATGCCACCATAAGCTTCTGAGCCCTCTGGTCAATTCTGAATAAATTTAATAAACTGAAAAAAATTTTCAGTAGATTGCATGGAAATGAACAGTCAAGTAGAGGAGACAAGACATAAATGTCTCTGCTGAGGAAAGGATTGCAGCCTGAATCAAATGTTATTAGACATTATAAAACCTATCTCACAGAAAGCAAGTATGAATGTCCCAAGAATGGGAAATGCTTCATTCAGAACATGCACCTATTAGAGTTCGTTTAAGTGCAATGTGAGACAGAAACCATCATCAATTAGTAATGCTGTTCCCTGAGCTACTGATGTTTACCTGTCAGTGAAAACCTTTTTATAGTCTATAGCACCACAGACTTTATGTGAGGAATTGACTGTTTTAGAATGCTTATTGTAAATATTTTATATTGCTCTCAACCTGATAGCACAGTGACAAGGAATGTTAGGCATTCGGGATACCCTGGGGGGGTGAAAATAAATGATAGCTCTCACCCCAGTGCTGCCCTTTGAAGGGACTCTAGTTAGCCAGATAATGCTATGGGACAACTGTGGTTAAATCCCAAGAGAGCTTTTGGAGTGTCATCCACAGGAGCCTTGCTGAGAGCAGAAGTAATTAGTTCCAGCTGAGCACACAGGCACATCACTTTAGAAAGGTCTGGCTGCTTTCACACTAGGAGAGAAAAGGCATTTCTGTCTAGCAGCCAGGACAGTGCACTCTGGAAACAGGAAAATGGCCTTCCTCCTTTGTTTGGGGACCAGCTAGGTGTGCGTTTTGGAGCTGCAGTATGGAATTGCACTCACTGCTTGTGCAAATTCCAGTAGGCAAGTGAAAAATTCCCATAAAATACTATGCAGAAGTTTCTCTGATTCACAGGAGAGTCCTCCAGGGTCTCTGTTCAGCAGCCCAAGACATGGCCTCCCTACAGGTGTTCACAGCATGCTAGAGAGTTTCCAGGGACATACGTAAAGCTCTCTCTTGGGAGGCTTTCTTCAAACATCTAATGTAAACACTGGTATTTCTGCACTTTTATGTATATCTTTGTGTGGTCTGGCACCTGATAAAAAGTCCATTATTTTCAGGGAGTGAGTGTCACCTGGTGATACCACAGCTCCTCAGAGGAGGTGCTTTTGCAGAGTTCATCCTTAGGTTATACGGGGGCTAGTCTTCCTGTTTGGTGGGGGCTTTTTTCCCCGGAAACCCCATGAAAGACATCTGAAAAACTCCACTCTTGTGCAACTCATTTGGATGCCTTTCCACTACAGAAGGTACTAGCTGAAGCCCAGCTGTTCTTGGAGAAGTGACGGCTTGGCAGCTGAACTCCTGTTGTGTGCAGAACAGTAAAAGCGTGAAATGAACGCCAAGTATTGATGGAGCAGCTATAGGTTCATTGTTAGAAGGACCACTAGTGACTACTAAATGCCATCAGATGGTTAAGGACAGCCAGTTATGGTTTAATGGCTCCTCTCAAGGTCCTGGGAAACTAACTTGTAAAAAGCATCAGGGGCCTACTACATCGCTTTGGTTTTTAACTAGCCACAGAGGCATTTAACTGAGCATGCCAGAGAGGGGGCTTCCTGATACAAATGGATCTGGCTGAGCAAGACACACTTGCTGCAGCCTCTTTAAGAGAGAGGGAATAATTTCATCTTCCTGTCTGCCTTAGCTGTTGGTGCAGGTTACATCAACACTTCTCCTGCAATCACAGTGGAGTCCTGCAATTTACTGCAAGCTTCTAAAAACTTTATATATCCATATTCACTGCATGCAGGTTATCCAATGATAACCACCTTAATCACTGTTGCTGAGCTGAGATTCAAACCTGTGCTTTCTGGATGAGCATGATCCTCAGTGGAAAGATTCTGCTTGTTTTTAATATCTAAATTTAGTGTCTGTTTTTTAAGGTATTTACTATGCACTGTGACAATTTTGTAACGTAGAGTCAAGCAAGATCATTTCTTGCATTACTTTAAACCCATATTTAGCTATAACTAAGCTGCAAGAGTGGCCCTGTTAATGGCATTGTGGAGAGAGTGTGAGAGTGTGTTTTAAAATAAATCTTTTGGCTCTTACTTATGCCTACTCTGCTTAGGACAATGCTGGAAGAAATACTCAATTCTCTGCTCACAGTTCCATTCATGCAAGTGTACCACATGAGACAGAAGCAGTACTTCTTTCTAATGCTAATGGAATAGTCCATCAAACCTTGCTTTGCAGCTGGTTTTGGTAGAATATGAAAAAGAATGCTCACTTCTGCAGATTTTATGACATTGACATGCTTCCCTACCACAAATCTTCCCAATACATTGAGCAGTTTGAATTAAACCTTCACCCATGGCTTCCCAAGCACAAGAGAAGCCATCAGTGTACTCACTGAACAGGCTGTCAATGTGCCTTAGTGACAGGAACAAAAGCAGCCATGCATGTAGCACAGAACAAGCGAGTTCAATGGAGCAGCCCGTGCTAGCACATCATGCCAACACAGGCCTAACCTGCCGCTTGTGGGCAAGCCAGCATCCATCCCTCGTGGACTTGTGGTGCTTCTTCAAGAGCACAAATCACTCCCTATCCCCCCGCCCTGCCAGCCACCAGAGGGCACCAGATTTCACCGCTGACAAGCTGAAATCGTTAACTACTGGAAAGGCAACCGTTGTTTTATTCCCCCCTTTCTTTCTTTTGCTCAGAGTGCCTAAAACAGGCCTGAGAAGAAAAAGACTATAAAATCTTGGTTACACGTGGTCAGTTTTGCTCTGGGTAAAGCACAAAGGACTGCAAAACCATGTCCTTTTACACTTGTACTCATTAGAAAGCACAGCTTGAATGCAGAGTCCATTCCGATCTGAGAATTCTAGGAAGCACTGCTGAGGCTGAAGGCAGTACCTGCTGAAGACCTCACCATGAGAAAGGGTGTTGAGAGCACATGTCAATGCAGTGGGTCCAAAAGTCTCCCCTGAAATGCTCAGATGGCTCCTAGTTAGTGTCAGCATTGGGTGGGCACCTATATATCCAAGTCCTCCATTTGGCTCAAGGACTGAAGAAGTTTCTTGGGATGTAAGTCTAAATTCTCTGTGTCAAACAGAGTTTTTTTGTTTCCTCTTCTCATCACTTGTATGTTTATATAAAAATCCCTCAAATTTATACGCCAATTTCTTCATCTTCCAAGCGACACACCAAAGCCATTTTGCACACACACGTTTTTAGCTAAGACTACCATGGGTTTAACTCATTAAAATTTAGCTGCCTCTGTTCTCAGTCTAGCTACAGCAGTCAAAAAATGGTCAATGCTTATTTCAAACTAAACAGACGGTATCAAATGATGAGCAAATAGACTATTGCTGTGTGTGCAAAATGCATCACTTGTGTTCTGAAAGTAATTCTAAAGAAGAGCTTACAATTCACCTGGTTCTTTTTCAGATTTACTGTTGTGCCTCATAAGACTATTTAATGATGTCTTTATTAACTCTATCTATAACATTTTGGAGCATAGTGTGCTTCAGGCCAAAACATTAAACTTATAATATATGTAAATATGAGTGACTTGTTCCAGATAAGGAACATTTTTTGTATTATTTATGTGTAACAGATAGTAATTCAGTGAGGAAAAATGATTACAAAATTATCTACTTTCGTAAAGTTTTCCAGGTTTAGTCTTTTAAGTCAGGCCTATTCATGTGGGATTTTTAGACTAGCCAACACTTACAAAAGGAAAAAAAGAAAAAGAAAAAGATGAAAAAAAGAAGAAAATATAAGAAATATCTTACCAAAATAATTAAAAAGCAATACAGTTTTGCATGGATTTGGACACTTACCTATAAGTAAGATTACTAATGCATCTGTAATGTAAAAACCAAAGAGAACAGGCTTGTGCCAGACTTCCACACCAGCAGAACCAGTGAGCAGATATGCTGCTATTAATACCTATAGAAAAAAAGATAATGTAGTTTTAATCATTTAACTCTAAAGGCACGGAATTTAGCTTATCATCTTAATATAAGATGCTATTTTCCTCTTGTCTCCACAATAAAGGACCTTATGCTGCCATTCCAAAACAATTACTTCTAAGCAGTGAAGCAGCTTTCAGTGTCACAAACAGAATTATCTAAAACATATGAAATGTGGGGAAAGCACATAACTTCCCTGCAATGTGTGCACCTGTTTGCATGTGGTAAATATCACTGACTTACCTTTCCAAAACACAAAACTCCTAAATCCCTTTTTAATGCCACGTACCCCCACTGTACATGCACTTTCTTGTATCTGCATACAGACTTCAGAATTAGTAATGTGGTTATTTTTGCAGTTCAGCCCCCTGAACTGATCATATCAGAATAAATGAGAGAGGAAAAAAACCTAAGCTCACCTGAAATAATAATAATTAATTGAAAGTGAATTAATAAAAAGAAGGGGAGTGAGCTGAAGTGAGTGACCTGATATTTAATTTGTTTGACAGATAACATCATTACAGGACACAAAAAGAAACACGCAGTCAAACATCATTAGGAGTGAAAGGACTCATACATGACTCCTGAGTCTCGCTGAAGTGCCACCAGTTTCAGCAGATGTAAATGAAGTTCTTACTCTCTTTTCAGAGTTATTTCTGTGACCCAGCTGAGGTCAGCAATCTTAATGCAGTCAAAACCCTACAGCTCCTATAGCAATACTTTTCACGTTGTATTACCTGTAGCGCCTCCTACAATTCATGGCACAAATTGGTGAAATCTTGCTAGTTTAGGTGTGTAACATTCAAATGCAGTAGTGATTGTGTTGCAGTGGTTCCCCAGCCCTTATGCCCTTAATCCCATGTCCTCAAGGGACCCTGTTCTACCTCGAAACCTGTTTCTTGGCTTAGTCCAGGCCACCCATTTTAATTTAAAGGTACGCTGAAAATCTCCTTCCTAGATAACCGGCTGTTTAAGATCACAGATTAGTAGCAAACACTGATGCTGCTTAAACTCCTTATTACATATAGATATTACTATATTTGACTTCACTTGTTTTTCTGTATCTAAATTCAAGATTCTTGCTCTATCAGTATGTATCTCTTCCAGAGTTTTGCTAGAATTGGCATTGCAGAGTTGGATGTTTGATTCATTTGTGCAAGAACAAGCAGCACAACAGATCTGCAACAGAGAAGCACTAGTATGAGAGTTACATCTTGGGCCGCTGAAGACAATGAGTCAAATTCTAGTCTAAATGAAGGACGTGTACAATGTGTTTTGCAACTGACTACAGCAGAACTACCATTTGGCTTTGTGAAGAAATTGCATTATGTTATGCATAAGACATGACGGATGGAATCCTGGCCCCATCAAAGTTGATGGCAAAGCTCCAACTGGCTCTGACGGAGCCTGAATTTACCCTCACACGTTGAATTCTGAACAGACTTTTTTGGCAAGTGGTAGAAGAGGAACTTCAGTATTATCCGTTATTATAGTCAGCACTTTTGGCAGTGCAGTCATGAGTATCCCTGTCAGATGTCAGCACACCTCTAGGAACAGGAACATTGATGCAACGGGCTCTCAGGGGAATCCCCTGCCCTGGGATTTGGTGATGCAGTATTTGCGGGTAAAGATTGCCTCTGATTTAACAGATGTAGTGTATGGAAAACACTTTGGCTTCAAATTTTTGGTGTGTTCTTTTTGAAGAAGTTGTAACTTTGACTTCAATAAGGGAGTCCCAAAGGCCTCCTTTAGAAAGCTGGAAAGATAAGAAAATGGCTGTGCCCCTTGATCTAAGCTATATTAGCAACTGAATAATGTTTTACTCATCTCTCTGGAGTAGGTCAGCTTTACTACTTTTCAGATATAAATGTAGTCTTTAGCAAGTAAAAGTAATTGCAACCTTTGGCAAAATGGTAAATCCAAATTAAATAACACAAGTAAGGACTATAGCAAGTTAGTGTCAGACGTATGCAATCTTGGATTCAACTGCAGCATCTGACCAGGGAAATTTTTGGCTTGCCAAAGCCTTATCTATGAGGAGTACTTATGCAGACAAAAATCTGTTAATCTGTAGGCCATTTGATATGGCTGAACAACAGGGTAGCTGGCTTCTGAGCAGTGGCTCCCTACCTTCTCACAACTGTGTAAACCACAGCAACATAATCACCTTTGTCCCTCTGTAAATTCAGAATACTTCTTTAATGTGGCACTGGGAAAACGCTATATAACTATAAGGCAATATAACTCCTCAAAATCTCCCAGCTTCTAATCTTTTAACTGTTCTCTAAAATATTTGATTTTTAAAAATCACCATCTATTTCATGTCTTTCCACTACTGAAGGTGTAAGTTTTGTAATCAAAATATTCTAGATTTTGTGTGTGCATAAATACATTTTTTTTTCTTCTTAATGATTTATCGTTTCTGTTTTACACACAGGTACATCGAGGATGCTCTATGATGTACCACATGGTAAAAACAACAAACATTTTCTCATCTTTTTGAAAAAATATTCTGACTGTGCTTTTGAATGTTTTATGATTCCACAAAAAAAAACCCAACCCAACCAAAAATACCACAACAGTTTAATTTTACTGTAATATTCAATTTCACTAGTGTATTCCAATAGTATTAATTGTTCCTATGTTGAAATATTTTCCATTAGCACAGGCTCAAACTGTCTGTGAAAATTAACATACGGCAGGAAGCTTGAAATGTTAATTTCTCTGGAAAGTTTTGTCTTTAGGTATTAGCTTTCTTCAGTTGGGCTTGTGATAGAATAAAAATGGTTGTTTTCACAAGATATATAAGAGAATTTCGCACAGAACATAGCAAAGCTTTCTTTTATAGCCTTCTCTTCATGACTTTTGGGAGTTTTAATAGGTGTTATTACTCTAAGGTGTATGAAAAGCATGCAGATGCTATGGTGTAAAAAGGCTCTTCTCCCTGCATCATCTTCTGACCCCAGAGGAGTCAGCACAAGGTAGCTACTTGTCCTGGAGGGAGGAAACAGCATAAGAGTTTTCAGTGCTGCAGACACCTCCTCCTTGATTGTGAATGTACAAACAAAACATCCCTCTGACCAAGCATCTCTCAGACACATTACAGCCATTTTTCAAGTTTACAAACCACGGCTTCCTATAAACAGCTGTCTGCTGTAATCAAAGCTAATTGGAGTGCCAATTACAGCCCAGCTACCGTAATTAGGTGACCAATTCTGATGAGCCATCAATTCGCAGAAAACTCGGATCTGCATAAATGCCACGGATTTGTCTATTTACAATGAGGTATCTTTTCATGAGGAACAGCAGCTCTTCTTACACCGCAGTTAATGCAGAGCCAGTGAATGTTTACGTACAGTGGAGCTGACTCAGCAGTGGTGTCCTGGGAGCTACATGCCAGTTACGCTTTCATTAATGTCAACAGTTACCTATTTGCACACTTATACTAATTACTGTATTTCCTGAGCTTTGTGGTAATAAAGTCCAAAGTTCCTGGCTACCATCAAATTCAAAAGCAGAAGCAGAGGACTAGACTACCTGAATGTCTGACATGCCAATGCAATAGCATCACATTGTTGGTGAAGTTATTCAAGACAGAGCAGAGAAGCGCATTTGTGCAGCAATCCAGCTAGGAATGCCACAGAGGAAACAGTGAACTAGACGCTGGGAATCAGTCTGAAAGCAGCCTGCGAGTGCTTCCACACTTTCTGCCTTTGAATGTGGCTGTGGGAATATCTGGCAGCTAAATGGCAGGGAAAAAAAAAACAGCAAGGGAAACTTTACCTTTCTTACTCATCATCAGCCATTTGCTTATGTCCTCAGCATCCTCACCTCCAAGTAGATGGAGTTGAAGAGCCACCTTTAATAGTGGACTCATCATACAAAATTTGCTGAATGACCGTATTGCCTCACCCATTACAAACCAAGGGCAAGGCAATTTTTGTAGAGGAATTCAGATCTTTTACTAGACTAGTTATTACAGATTAAAAAAAACAAACCTTCTGGTGTGCATGAGATGTAGTTTTGACTAATGGAAAAAATACTACCTTGATCTACAAGTCCTGCCTTGTCTTTGTTCACAGGCAACCACAAATACAAAAGCTGATTTTCACAGGTGGGAAAACTGACATACCGACATTTCAGTAGCACTGTCTTCCACCACTGCTGATGATCGTGCTACACAGGATCCAAAAAATCCTTATAGTTATATCCTTATCATTTTGACTGTAGGCAAATCATCACAGAAGTTACTAGAAACTAAGCATGTGGGACAGCAATACAGTATCAGAGGGGGACAGGAAATAGCACTTGTTAGCACCTTGCATCCAAGCTAATCAAAGCAGTTTGCAAACTATCTGAAATCCAGCCTCACCACAAATCTGTCAGGCAAGGAAATGTTACTACCATTATTTCCCAGATGGGAAAGCAGTGACAGAGGCATAGGTTACAAAAAGGCACTGACGAGAGCTAACAGTACTGCTCTGCTAGTTGATACTCACTCCCATATTTAACCACAAATACAGTTTGGGTGCTGCAGCAATCTAAAAGAGCTTTCTAAACATTCACGTGTGTATCTACAGCGATCATCTGAGCAACAAGTGGAACTGGTTTGAACACAGCTATTCCTCTCCTGCTGGAAGAACTTCACTAAGAAGCCTTACACAGACATGGCTGAATCTTGCACACCAGCTGGCTGCCTAATGTCTTAATCCTGAGCCAACTTCTTCTCCCAGGACCTATTTTGTAGGGGACAAAACAGATGCACCACAGCTGGACCACCATCTCCGAGTTGTTCTCAAACCACTGGATTCTGATTATGTTTACAGCAGTACATCTGCAGCCATTAATTCAAATACTCTATTTTCATTAAAACATATATTTGAATATTTGTCAAACTTCTTTTCAATTACATATATTTGGCTGTACCTTTCATCTCATGCCTGTGACAGGAAGCTCAGAAGACTGGTACTGTGCTTTTCAGGCTGCAAGAGCCTGGCTAACTAAGAAATACATAGGCCAGCCCAGAAATCCTGGCGCTGGGCCCTCGGCAGTGCACCATGCTTGTTACTGCTGCTGCTCATTTGTGCAATGAAGCCACCACTCACCATGGTGCCCTGGGCATGTTTCTGAAGAGGTCCACCTGAAGGTAGGACTGTAAGCCAGTCAAGAACTCAGGTGGGGACTCGCTGTGGGCTGATACGTGATTCACACCAATGAACACCATTCCCGGAGTGGAAACCTCTAATGGTATGACTTACTTTTTTTCCAAGGCTGCTTCCATCACTGCATTTGATGGAATGTGCTAGAACTGATAAGGTCTAGTGTTGTGCATAATTACTGTTAATAAATACTACTTGACCTAATTCACATCGTGCCTCAGAACCCAGTCTTGGTGGGAAAATTGCTTATGGCTTCAGATAGCACAATAATTTTTGTTAATACCACAAATCAAATGTAGTTAAATGACATTCGCATGAGCATATCTGACTGCCAGGCTTGCTGCAAGCCTTTTTTTTCCTGAAAGGCAATGAATCTCTGATGCTGACAATTTGCTTTAGAGCATCCCTTTGTTGCAAATGCAGGAAATATTTCTGAATTACTTTTAGGGTTATGCTATTTCACATTCAAAATCTTGGCCAAATATATTTGCCTTGAGCTCTATTTTTATAGTTCTGTAGTATTATGAAAACACTAACACAGTTAAAAAAAA